TACCCACGGCTCTCTCAATGCGGTTTTTCTCCCCCAGTGGGAGGAAAGTGTCCATCCTGTGGTTAGCTGAATTTATCTGGAAAATACTTTATTAAATGCTCATCAGCTCACCAATCCACTCTAACCAGCTCTGAAGAGAAGAACAGAAGTTTGCTTTGGATTTCAAGTTTAGAAAAATGTAATTGTCTTGGTTAGATAAAAACAGGAAAGTTTATTAATTAACCATTATATTTCTCTAGCCTTCAAGCAGGCCTATCTGACTCATTTACATCCCCATCTATTAATTCCTGGGCTCTGCCAGAGTAGCTTTGCATGAATCAAAGTCCAAAATAATCTTTATTTATCTTGCATTGGGCCCTGGTGCCACATCTCAAGTTTGGTTTGTGTCTCAAATAAACAATTGCAGCTGTCTAACCTCCCTTTAAGCCAACGTTCTTGTGATTGGCTGCCTCTTAGAAACAAGTAGTTGGGTGGAGCTAAGGGATATCTGCTCTCAATGACATCATACTCCGCTAAGAGTAGAAAAAATGGACTTTAAAAATGTCTGAGACCTAAGCTTTTGGCTTGCAGCAATTGTACATGTTTACAATTATAATTGCTGTGAATATTCAGTAAATATATACATACATCAGTATTTATATGACAATAAATGAGGAAAAGCATAATAGCGTAATGTTGTTTAAAGCTGAGCATTTTATGAATATAAATGAAGATGGTCTGGTTTGTTTTCTTTATTCACAACCAGCTACAGCAACACATTATATTGACTGCAGGTGGAGTTTGTGCTCATAGAAAAACCTAAAGAAACTCACCTGTATGTTACCTGCTCAGTACAAAACAGCAAGCAGACCCAGTTAGAGACGAGCTGATGAGCACAGTGGTGGACTAGCTGGTCAGCAGTTACACATCAACATATTTCCCTCAAAAGCTGGTGGGGACCAAAAATAGATGAAGAACAGAGTACCCAGGACAAAGCTACAGCAGCATTTATATTTCCCTACAAAACATATTTAGGAAAACATATCGTGGCTGTGCAAACTCTTTTACCCAATGCAAGTATAAATGTTATTTTAAATTAAATATCATTATCGTGTATTTGTATTTATTTTAAATCAGCTGTTTATTGATTTAGTCTTTTAATCTTTTAATGTAATATTTAACAGTCATATAAGAAGTCATATTAATTAAGAGTAGTTTTAATTAATTTTTTTAATTTAATTTTAATTAGTGGTTGCAGCACGGCGAGCAGTGACCGCGAGGATAAACTTCCTGCCACAGCAACCCTGAACTGGTTAAGCGTAACAGGATGGATGTTTAAATTATTAAACTTTTTGATTTTTTTTAAATAAAGGAACACATGAGGAATAAACAGGGGAAATATAAATAATGTTTTCTGTAACTAACCTGTGCTTCTAACATTTAATTCTATCTTCAATTAAAATGAAATCTAAATGAAGTCTTTTAATATTCCAGACACCCAGCTTTAAAACATTTACTTTAAAGATGATCTTTGTCTCAGTGACAGACGGGAAATTGTGCACCAAATAAAACTGTGTAAAGTTTTCTACACGAGCAGCTGTTCTTGAAACTGAAGAACTGATTTTTTTTCTTTCAAAAGATAAAAATACTAAACGACACCTCATCAGGCCTCTCGAACTGACACACAGACTTCACCTCTGTGCTGTTTGCACAGTTTTATTCGCCTGCACTGCATTACATGTCGCTTTCCTCACACATTGTCCTCACCTCCTCCATCCTGAGCTACATCATCTTCACCTCACTCTGCAGGGGCCACGACTCGTGACCTTGGGTCACAATTAAAATGTAACTATACTCCGCTGCATCAAAGCCAGATATTGGCAGCAATACTTTTGTTTTTCTTTCCAAAAATAAAGGCACATAAAAAGTTAGTGCTATTGTAGCTAGGATTGCTCCATTATCTCATTACATAAAACTGATTAAAAATCCATCATGGCGGACGTTTGGAGATATAAATATGTGTTTATTTCAAAACCAAGTGTACCTAAATAATGCATGCAAATGTTTCATTTTTATTTCTTAACATATGAAAGTTAGTTGTTGCAATGGAAATCGATGGTCACAAAGGTCTATGATTCCAGTGAAAGGAGATCTAGATGAAAATAATTTAAAGTGTTGGTAAACAAACATGAGGAGGCAGCTAACGAAAATCAGGTGTCTATTTGCACAAGGCTTCAGTATTAGGTTATGAAGTACTATGTGTTCTTGGACTAAGACTACATCAAAACTAACAAGATGTAACCTCCAGGCCTGAAATATGAAACCAATGGCCATTCTTCCTGACAGCCAACGTGAAGTGACTCTTCCTCCTCAGGTTATAAGGAAGTCAAATAAGAAAATGACTCTACTTTCCACTTTACTGATGAGTTTACGGTCCAACTAATCTAGAGTAAAACACATGATAAATCAGGATAAATCAGCAGATAAAAAGTCGGGCGGCACAGTGGTTAGCGTGCACAGAGGACTGAATTCCTTTGAAATGGCTCAGGACGGGATCAGGTCTGTGACCACTTCTAGTTACTGTAGGTGCCATCTTTAAAGCGACTTTGGTGCCTCAGGTTGGTGGTAAAACACCACAACTGATCAGCCCCTGTCAGTTTGTGATTAAATGGCATCAAGTTGACAACTACATGCAGTTATTTGTGATAATATGGTGATAAACAGCGATAAATTGGCAAAAATCACAAATTTGGTTCCATCTGCATACACAAAAATTTACATCAATTGTTTACATTCAGAGTCCTGGAAGAAACTCAAAGATCTGAAACTGTGACATAGTTGCTGCAGGACAGCAGTTTGACTGCAACCTTACTTTGATGTAGGATAAAAAGCAGAAAACCAGTGGAGTCCTCTTTCGCAAAGAGACGAGACATAGATGAGTTGCGCTTATTAGCACAGACTGACTCGGATTGACTGCAACATGTTGACGTTTGCCTACACTTACAAATTAAACATCAATTGTTTGCAAACCTTCTCCAGTCTGAGTGATTACAGTCAGTCCAAGAGAGACCATGATGGTTCGAAGACAGGTTGCCTCCCCTTAGACAATTTTGAGTTATCACCGAGAGCTTGAGGATGTCACATGCTGCATGCTCAACCTCTAGGCAACCAGCTGGTTGGCACAAGTACTTGCAATCAGTTTCGAAAAAGGAAATAAATGAATGTGAACACTATTTTTTTGGTCTTTCTCTCAAGTTGTCATTCAACAGGCTGTCATCCTGTTTTCACTCTTGTCAGACTGAACCACGAGTAAACTGTGTTTCTCTGTCTATAACATACATCAGGTGTTATTCTCTCCTGATATTATCCATCCATCAGACAAGGAGGGGAAGTTAATTGTCACCTTTCTTGGTCAGTAGGAGCTATAGAATTCAATTTCACTTTTTATATACAGAAAAAAATGGCCAGAGCTTGAAAAAAGCACAATCTAGTAAATGTACTATTGTTACTTAATTACAGCTAGAAGTAACTCTGATTTACCTTTGCTACTTTTGCTTGTTAGGGACAAATATTTAGGGCTTCCAGAGTGATCCCAAATCACATCAGGAAGTGAGATTTCACATTTGATGACCTTCCCACTCTGAAGAACAGCATTTACTTTATTTACCTTAATGTCCTTTGGAGTTTGGTCACTTTTGTCTCCAAACAAAA